CTTGGATTAGTTCTTTTATGAAAAGATTTGATTTATCATTAAGAAGAAGAACTAAAATTTCACAAAAATTACCTGAAAATACAGAAGAAAAGTTAGAAGAATTTAGGCGATTTGTTGAAAGGTTGAGAATGCAATACAATTTTGATTTAAACAATATTTTTATTATGGATGAGATTTCAGTTTGGTTTGATATGGTGAGAATATGACTGTTAATAATAAAGGAGATAAAACAGTACATATTTGTATTACCGAAAGTGATAAAAATCACTTTACTGTGATTTTAACTTTAGCTGGTAAATAAGATTTAATTTAATTTAATTTAATTTTTTATTTATTTGACTTAATTTTTTTATTATTTATAGATAGTACAAAATATCCTCCAATTTGTATCTTTAAAGAAAAGCAACTTCCTCATGGTAAAATTATTCCAAAAGGTATTATTTGTTAGTTTCAAGAAAATGGATGGATTATATCAGATTTAATGAAGAATTATGTGGATTTTCTTTTTAAATTTCGTATGTCTGAAAATTTATCAAAAGAACCTGCTTTGATAGTATATGATTCTTTTTGAAATTATTTGGAGGAGAGTGTGAAAACTATATTTAAACAACACAATTTTCATTTGGCTGTTATTCCAGCAGGATTAACTAATTTATGCAAACCACTTGATATATCAATTAATAAACCTTTTAAAGATAATTTGCGAAAAGAATGGTATGAATAGATGGTTCAGAATGATACTGATGTAACTGCAGCAGGTAATATAAAAAGAGCAAGAATTAGTGATGTATGTGGATGGGTTAAACGTTCATGGGATGCTATTTCAGATTAAATTGTTTTAATTTTTTTAAAAAATGTGCTATTTCAAATATGTTAGATGGATCAGAAGATGATATTGTTTATGAAGAAATTGACAAATTAATTGCAGAATATGAAAAAGAAAATCTAGATGAATTAGATAATGATGTTGAAATTGTTGAAAATTAATAATGTCATTATAAAATAAATAAAGAATAATCATGCTATAAATTCATTATAAATAAATTTGTTTTATTATTTAATTTTATAAAAATCATATTAATTATTATTTAGTAAATGAGTGCTTATTTTCAAAGGTGCTTACTTTTAGTTTTTACAAACACTATGACAAAAGTAGAATGTGTGCTTATTTTCAGAAGATACTTAATTTTAAGATTTTATGGAATTAATATTAATATTAATACTAACAAGAATATTAATATCAATACTGATTCTAACACTGATATTAACACTAATACTAATACTAACATTAATATGGATAAGGTAGAGGTAAAGGAGAAATCTACTTTAAGGAATAAAGGCTATTTAAATATTCTTTTTTTTTGTTTAAAAAAAAAAGATTTGATTAGCTACAGTAGCATATTATGAAATTGTTTTTTTTATTTTATTTTTTTCTACTATTATGTATTATCTATTTTTATTGTTGATTATAGATTTAATTAATAATAAATTAATTAATTAATAATTATTGATTTTTATTTGTTTCAATTTTTGAATTTATAAATTAGATCAGTAGATCTGTCACTTTAGCTTATTGTAAAAGCATAATAGGTACATTATATTGTTTATCTTATTCTTGATTAATTAATAATAAATCAATTAATTATTTGAACAATTATTATTTCAATTTTATAGGTTAGAATTAATTCTGCTCTTTCAAATGACGTTGATGTAGTTAAATAGACTCTTCAACTAAGGATTAAAATTGACTTATGATATAAAATAAAAGATAACTAAAAAGGAAAAAAATTAATAAAAATAAAAAATAAAAAATAAAATAAAAAAAATAAAATAAAATATAAAAAATAAAAGATAAAAAAGATGGGAAAAGGATAAGAAGAAAAAAAAATATAAAAAATCAAAAATCAAAAATCAAAATAATAAAATATATAAGAATAAATATATAATAAAATATAACAAAATTAAAATAAAATATTAGAGGAAAAAGAAAGAAATAAAAAATAATAAAAATGCAATGTTTTAATTTATTATAATGATTTTTAAATATAAATATTTTAACATTTTTAATCAAACTAATTTTTATTAAATATTGATAAGCAGATTTAATAGGTTCTGATCTTTCAAATATGTCTAAATTGTTAGAATCAAATCAGTTAATCTAGAAAAATTAATAAATAGAAGCAATTATTTTGAGATTCATTATGAAAAAATCTCTAATAGGTATAAATATTAGAATTGAAGCAAAAGAAACTTTTTAAAATATAATAACATTAGATATTAAATTCATCATCTGAAAACTTAAAGAAAGTAAAAAAAAAAGTATGTTAGTTAATAGGTAAGAAAATAGAATTACCTATAAGTGTTCAAATCAATTATTTAAATTACAAATTCTTAAAATAAAATGATCATATTATGTTATCTCTTCAAACATTTTACAGGCAAATTTACCTGTAATTTTACTTAATAATTAAAATTAAATATAATAATTTTAAATATTTTTAAATAATTTATTTAAAAATTAATATTTTTATCATCATTTTCTAAGTAAAATTCAAAAAAAATATAATTAATTAGTGATATTTTAAAGATAAATATATGATATATTATTATAAAAAAAAGTTAAATTTTTAAACTTATATATCTTGCTATCTATTGATCTTAGAAATATGAAAAATATAATTATTTAATAGGTCTTTATGAGATAAATCTAATAAACTAAATTTTATTTTCTTGTAATTATTTTTTTTTAAGACGTGATGATGCAAAATAATATTAATAAAAGAATTTATTAAAATAATAAATAAAATTAAATAATAATAAATTTTTATTTATATACCTGCAAGATAACATTTTTTAAAATAAGTAATTAAAGTATTATAGCATTTAAGCATTCTATCTGCAAATGGAGTATTATAAATATCCTTTGAAATTAGATTAATAGCATATGTTATACATCTAATATTTAAAATGCTTGGATATTTTTTAGTAATAATTTGCTGCATAGCTTGAATATTAGAACCAGCATCTGTTACAATAGCAGATATTTTTTCTGAACTAACACTTTCTAAAAACTAAATCTATTTCTTCTGCTAATAATTCTTTAGTATGCCTTTCATTAGATAAGTTTTAAAGACTCCATAAATATTGATAATGATAGATGTATGTAAAACAAAATTCCAAATTGATTTATTAGAAGGATTACTTCATTCATCACAAGCTAAAAATTAATTAATTATAATTTTTAGAATTTAATTTTATAAAAATATAAAAATAAAAAAATAAAAAAAAACTTACCTAATGTTAGATTCTCAGAATTTTTTAATTGTTCAATTATTTCTTGATTAATAAAAGCTGTTTCTTGCATTAAATATCATCCAAAAAGAATATTTTTTGATGGAGGTTCATATGCCGGACGTAAAGTTTTCAACAGTTCAATAAAGAATGGATTTTCAATAATGTGAAAGGAATTCCACAAATAATAATTGCTTTTAATAATGCGTGGGTTATCTCTTTAGTATGTTCAGGTGTAAGTTTAGTACTTTCAATATAATCAAAAAGTTTTGTTTTAGTGTGCTGAAATGGTTGGTAATCAAGTTTTCGTTTTTTTGAAGAAGGCTCACTAGTTTCACCTGCTTTTATTGCTAAGCGTCTAAAAAAAAAGTCCCGAATTTCTGCCGGAACTTTTACACACAAATTTCCTAAGTGGTCTTCAAGAGTTGCTGGTGAGCCTTTATACCAAATGGCTCCACAAAAATTACATTTCTCGTTCCAATGACCTTTTAAATTTGCTTTCCTTGTTTAATATATGTTCCCCAAACTATTGATTTAGGTTTTCCACCAACTTTTCGTTTAGGTAATGAAGTATCATCGGTTGAAGTAGTTGAATTAGCCTCCATTTTGTAAGACGCGAATGCATTAATGTTTGTCTTACCAATAATGTTATATATTTGATTTTCACGTGAATAATTAAGTTTTGGAGAATTTCAATTAATTCGGATTAAATTTCGGATTTAGGCAGTATCGGACTCAATCGGACACTTCGAAAATTTTTGTTGAGGTTTAACTAATATCGCCTAGATTTCGGATTTGGTTCGGGCGTAATAATCAGGTTTCGTCCGAACCTTTACACCAGCACCATAGACAATTAGATTTCCGCCAGAACTGTAATACATTTTATGATGTTATAATTTTAATTTTTCATTCTGATCATACTATTTTGAAAACAAATGAATCAAGTAAATATTACTTTTTGTGAGACGTAAATCTGCAGTTTCAATGTAATAGCTTAATAAAGCTTACATTACACAGAATATAGGAGGGTTACTAAGAAAATCAGGTTCCGAGAAATTTTTGACTAAAATTAAGAGCTTAATACATTTTAATCTAATAACATCAAAAACTAAAATGCAATAAAAATCTCAATTTTGCTAAAAAATTCCCGGAACCTGATTTTCCTAACAATGATTATGTAGTATAACATTTATCATCAGTTGGAATCATTGTAAAACAAATTTCCTTTAAAGTGATCTTCCCAGATCTTTTTATTGATGCATCTAGATCTTTTTTTTCAGGTTCTCGCCCGTGAAAGATGAATGACCGAATGACGAAATGTGCGATTACTAAAATTATCAACGTATCTCTAAGGAAAATTCGATTAAATAATAAATGATGAGCGAAAAGAACTTTCTTTCTTTATTTAAAAATGATTTGTCTGTCGCGCAGCTCGTGATTCTAAAAAAAAGATGGCGTCTTCATATCAAGTTCTATATTCTGCTTTACTCTTCATTTTATTTATATAATCCAGATGAACTTATCAAAGATCATTTATTTCAACTCAAGCCGCCATTTCGCTTAATATAAACTTATGAGCTATCCCGATAAAACTGAATTAGTACAATTACATTTGAACACTAGACATGGAAAATATTAACTAGTGCTTGAGTGCAAATTAAATCATAAATAATCTGCATTGAAACAATTATTAGGATCGAGATATCCTGAACCAGGAGAAATCATTGCTTTCGATAAGTTGGAAAATATTTTCCAATGTTCATATTGCAGAAAAGTGGGTAAATAAAAATATATATATATATTTGTTCTGCTCATTATTTATTTAAATTACATCCTTTTAGTATAAAAACCTCTTTCCAGCGTGGAAAGCTCTTAAATCGATCAAACGAGGAGAACTCGAACCTTATTACGATGGAATACAAAGTTGTAAAGATACGCAAAATTTTGGAAAGGAATTCGAATGTGATCTCAATGTTATTAAATTTCAAAGTACTGACACTTCAAGGTACGATTTAAATGAAAAATATTATTTCCAATGTTTTAAACGCATCGGTGCTTCAGAATGGCATTTGCTGAAGGATTATTCAATGGTAAGGGTCCTTTGGATACGTGTAAAAGCCAACCTGTATTCATTTCATCATTATCGGTCGTAAGTTTCTTATTTATTTTTCTTGCTGCGTTACGTTATTTGTAAAATATATTTTTTTTATTTTTATTTTATTTTTTTTTTTTAAAAAAAAAACTTATAATGCGCTTTATATAGCATCTTGATTATGTGAAGCAACATTACTGAAGCTGAAATTACGATAATAAGCATGAAAATGTGAATTTTCATGATAACTTTGGAAGTATTTGAAGGATTAATATCACAAATGTTTTATAACATGTGAATTTTATAAACAGATTCTTGTGGAAAATGTAACTTAAAGATGTGTATTTATAAGCAAATCAGATTAGTGTTACAATTTAAATTATTTGATGTCTATTGACAATGTGATAACAAAATTTCCTCACTTTATATAGTTTTTTTTTTAAGTATAGGCTTACTGGGTTTATACATAAAAAACTTGTTTTTGCTTGCTATAGATTCTCATAAAGAGCGTTACAATCTTTACAGCCTCTCAAATGCTGTAATAAATTTTTGCAACCAATTACAACATTGTAAATCCTAAATATAATCGATTAGGAAAAAATTTAAGGTATTGTATATATACAATGAATATAATTCTGCCTACAGACGATAATTTGTTCAATGTTAATTTTAGTTAACTATGAAGTTCAATTCCGGACAGGGATATTAGTGTTGTAATGGCATTGTTTGCTGTAACTAAGCCAAGAGGCTTTGGTAAATATAAGACAAAAGGCTTTTGTATGTACCTAAGCCATATGTTAATAATTCAAATTACTTTTTTATTTCAGTAGCAAATTATTCAATTCGATATGTATTAAATAATTAAATAATGGAAACTATTACGTCTAATATAATTCCGCCTGAAAAGATCACGATTTACGATTGTAAATTGCTTTCTATAATTGTCTTTGTAGATCATTTTTTGACCAGGCGAATATGCCAAGATTAGAGGCCTGCAACGGGCCAGGTCCAGGACGGCAAATAATAAGTTTAAAATTTTCTGGGCCAGGTCCGGGTTCAAGGTACCAGCCCGGATTTTTTTATAATTTTGGTAAAAAACGTTATTTAATTAAAATTTAGTCGCCACTGATTATATAATAAATTATTTTATTATTGTTAAATTTTTGTAAACAATGGTAGCATTTTTGTTTTACATATTGTTCTTTATTAATCTTTTTTGTTTATTTATTATAATAAATATTTGGGAGGTTTGCTATTAAAATCACGTTATGGATCATATGATTTACTATGTTCATACTCGATTTTAATAGCAACCCTCCCATTTGTTACCGCACTAAAAAAAAAAATTTTAATACTTGTCGTGTACAACTTTGCTTTAGCAAGAAGATGCAGAAATAAAAAAAATAGTTTGTTGAAATAATATTTTGATCATGGAAAAAAAGTTAGTTATAATTGGTAGTTGTCATTAGGTAATATTCCTATTTTCTCAAATCCGAAACATCAGAGGAATCTTATTAGATAGTATTTACTGTTGATGAATTTAGAGGTTGGAACTGGCTAAAAATTCTTTAACCGGTTAAAAAAATCTTTAGCCAGTTAACATGTTAAACCGTTTTAATTGGTAAAAAATTAACCAGTTACAACCTCTAGTTGAATTGAAGATTTGATATCACCAAGCATTCTCATACATCCTTGAAATAATTCTATCTGAAATGGGAAACGTCTCCATGTATAATGAATCATTCAATGTGATTATGGTATATTTTTCAAAGACTAATCTTCACGCAAATTCCATTTCGATTACTTTTAAATTAAATTTTATCATGACCGCGTCCAACTTCAAAATTACTATAGCTATTTTGGAGAATCTCATCAACTTATTTGTAATTTTTAAAATTTTCTTGTTTAGCTTGATCAATTCTAATTAAATTAAATGTAACAAGTATAATTAGCGTTATACGCTTCTGATGATGACGATGATGATGCAATAGCGTTTTCCTGATCAAAATAAGGCCCTTCCAAAAATTTCATCACAAATAACGAATTCCATGCTACAACAAAGTCTCTAGTTTCTCAACATTGGAACAATCGTCTATAAACTGCTCAAATGTTAGTTTTTGTGCTCTTTCGTGACTCACGCGATAACCAAGATACGATGATATTATTTGAACAAAATTAACTATTGGCCAAAGGAATTTTACTTTTTTTGATTTATCAAAAATTTAAAGAATATCGAAATAAAAGGAAAACTTCCCAAGTAAAACATTGTAATAAAAAAAATACATGTTATTTTTGTAATTTGTTAAATAAATGAATAACATTAGAAATTCTGCTAAGGAGTTATCACTTCAGTTCAAGAAAGATTTTGATCAAGAGAACAATATATTGAATTTCGTGAATTTAAAAGGATTTGCTATGTGATGAAAATATCAGTACAATGGGTGATTAATAAGTATTCAAATATTTTTTTTATTTTGAAAAAAAAAATTATTCATTTAGTACTTTGCGGATGAATATACTGTGTATAAAAGGTGATAAGTTATAATTTTTTTAAATGATTAATGGCAAGAGCAATAGTTTCCAAGCGTTCACTGGCTAAATCACCATATTCACTAAGAGCTGTTAACACATTTTATTTTTCAGTTTATAAATTACACTCTTTTGATTATGATTGATAACTCTTTTTTATCCAGAAATGAGCTTGAAATAATTAAACTAAGACAACTTCAAATAACAATTTATGAGATATCAATAGATACCTTTCATCTACATAATGAAAAGTTTATATCCTAAATCTAACTTTGATTTCATATAATTATTTTTGTAAATACGGCCGTTACTTTTCAAATTGATCTTGAAATTTATGATTTCAGATAAAAAATTTAATCTTAATTTATTTTTTTTTTTGTCTTGCCTGACAATGTTTATAAATCACAGAAAAATATCTCAATTTGATAATCGCAAATTTCTACTTGTGCTTTAAGATAAAAAAAAAAACCAAAAATTTGAGATATTCTTTGAAACTTCTCAACGGTTAGCAAATAATTTCAAATCACATTTATTTAAATCATTTAATACAACTTTGAATACATAAGAAGATGCATTTATTGCAATTCATGAGCCTAAAAGGTCAATCGCTATATATAGTACAAAATAAGCTTTAGAATGTTAAATGATTCTTGGAATCTTATTGCATTATAATTTTAAGAAAACATAAATAATTAAAATTTTTTTTAAAATAGTTGAATGTATTGAAATGCTGAATAATGGGCTGAAGTATTATTTTTCCTTTTCTTTAAATGATGAACAAAACACATTTGTATACACGAGATTAAATTTCCAGATATGACAATATTATCCCAAATCTTCAGCATTTAATTTATTAAAGATACCGAGAATTCTGCTTATTGAGCACGATGGAAAACTACTTATATCTAAGTTCTGCCGATGGATCATATATTATAGCGCTTGTAAAAGAAATATTGGAGTATAATTTCCCTGTTGGGCATGTTGCACATATTTTGGCGGTTCAGTTAATAAAGGTAATTTAAAAACTAATATTATTTATAAAATGGACGGAAATTTTTTTTTTGATAAATTAATGCCTTTCGTTTATTTAAGTTGTTGACTTACCATCAGCTTTTAAATCGTTGGAATGCTTTCAATTTATTTGAATTAATAAGTTAGAAACAATCTTGATGTTACTTGGTTTACAAATGGATGTTTTAATTCCTCAATAATTAAAATTACTCTCAAAATTCTTGAACGAGTGAAAATAAATGGTAGTTATTTTAGGAGAGAATACACGCTTTAAAAATATTGAGAAAAATTTAGATTGTTTGAAGTTCTTTCTGACACAAAGTTAATAATTGCTGGCAATGTAGAATTCCGCGTTGAACCAAAAACAAATTTAAATGGTCTTATCGATGTCTATAATAGATAAAATTTTTTATCCTTTTCTCTTCTAGAATCATGCATGATTTATTTTACTGTATCTGTTAAATTTTTAAATAAATTATCTCATAATTACTGGTTATTGATGTAATATCTTTATATTGTCAGAGTGGGAAATTTTCTCGTGGTACTATGTATCTTTTAAGCATTGAGATTAGTGATTTCTAAGAGAATAATTCTGCGATCAATACCATCAACTGAGAAATCCTTAATAAATAGTACATAATGAAATAATAGTGGATTTGAAGTCGGAATTGAATTAATTATTCTCATTCTTGTATAGAATTGCTTTTGAATCATCAGAAAGGCAATCGCGATTTATTACATAAAATTTGATCTTTAAAAAGGAATTTCCCAAATATTTATCGTTATTAATTAAAATAATTCAACAAAATAAAGAATTTAATAATTATGCAAAATTAATATTAGTTATTTTAATTTGTTTATTCCTTTAGTTTTTATTTTTTTCCTTGGCAAAAAATGTCGAGCTTTATCTTGACAAACAAAAACTATTCATAAAATTGTCAGTTTTATAAAATCTTCAAAAATATGAAAAAAATATATTTGAAATAACTATTAAAAAGTGGTAATAAAAGAAATAAGAAAAAATATCAAATAATTATTATCGAAAGGCATAAATGTCAATACCATCATGAACTTTAGCTTCTGATTTTCCATGAAAAATTTTTTATATACATTCCGATCTTACCAAATATATAAAAAAATGCAGATATAGAATAATTTCTGATTGTACTCCAAATAATATTGAGTCAAATTGCCGCATTTCGTATCAATTTTTAAATTAGAACGTAAAAATTAATTTAAATATATAAAATTATAAAAAGGAATCTATTTCTAAACATTATATCTTGATCATAATCAAATAATATTATAAATTATTATTATGCAAATTAGAAGTATTACCGGAAATTCTAATAATTTCATTATGTTTTCGCTTTTGGTACCATTTATAGCAAAGGATTCCAACCAACATAACAATTGCGGTACATAAAATTCCACTTATTGCAGCAATTATTGTATTTTTTTGACTATCAGTAATTTTTTGAGAAGCCGAAGCAGTTGTAGTTGTAGAAGGAATACTTGTATTTGAAGGTAATATACTTTCGGTTCAAATTTATCAACCCAAGTATAGTTTCTAGTATCAAACAGGTAAATTTTGTTTGACCGAGAAACTTTTGTTAATCCATTTGGATGAGTAAGACGACCTATATAATTCAATAAATTAT